ACTTTTGAGAACAGTACATCATGTTATTGATGTTCTCTGAAATCTGCATATCGGGCAATTGGACGAATAGAAGCAGAGTTTTTGCAGCCTTATAAGCGACGCTATGTTTATTGCATCAATGCAAAAATAATTGTTGATAATAAAGGTTTTATATAGATATCGGCCAACAACAGATCTCATAAAACATAACTTATGTTATTTATATTCTTCTTCCTAGATGACGACAATAAATCACGTCTGGAAATGAGAGTTTTCGGCATCTAGCTTGTAAGCAGACGATGTTACAAGTATTCATTAAATCCTTGAGCTTAGTTGAATGTGAAAACGCTTCTGTTTAACCAACTGAGATAGCAGCAGCAAATAAAATACTGTGTAAATCAGAATTTTTTGTCTGTGGACTTGTTTAGCTTTGCTTAAATCTTAATCAGCTAAATGCTTTGAGAAATATTGATGATCATGTCCGTCGAACTTTCCCTCCGTCTATAATTGGCATTTAAACCAAATTCGATTGGCTGAGTGGAGCGGGGCTCTTCGCTTAAGTTCAAAAACTAACCTTGAAATTACATTTTGTGCTTAAGTGAATAGTTAGCTGATAGGTACCGAAGATTCGCCTTAAGGCAAATAAAACTTTCTTCCTTGTTATCAATAATTTCAATTTTTGTTACTTCATCCCATTTAGTGGGTCATCATTCCGCTTTTAACTTACGACAAAATACATTCCCAGTTAACTGCAGTACTTTTCATTTAACTGAGTTATTATAAGTTGATGCGAACATATGCCAAGTGAAGTAGAAAGAAAATGTCTTATGTAATGATATTGCTCGCAATGACACGACAATATTAGTTTACTTGAATGTATATTCTTTTCTAAATCTCCAGAAGGTCGCTGGTATAAAAAATTCGCTCAATTATAAGAATTTTGAATTTATAAACGAGCTATGGCATAAAAATCAAGGATAGGTTTTTTAGTTATGTAATGTTTGTAACGCATAGAAATATTGAATTTTGCAAATTCTTTAAAGTGTGTAATACATAGGATGCTTATTATTAACGTGAATAGTGAAATTGATTTAGCCGGAGAGTCGGGTAGGCTTGATAGAATGCCGTAAAAAGTTATGATGATGCTTTCTACTGCTACGTTCTATGAACAACGTCCTATCTATTATGTACTATCTGCCGAGGACAACGTACTATGTACTTATATATATTGTGTATCATGCGTGGCCTGCACTATGTATTGTGTATATAGTCTCCTGGGTGCCATGTGCAGTGTGTGTGTGACTTTTGGGATATCTCGTATTATGCCAACGATGAACTAACTATGTACTGCAAACTCTTTACAATGTCCTATCTACCATCTATGAATTTTGGTATATCTCATTTTATGTACTATGAGATCGGTATTATGTACTATGAACTATGTACTGCGAACAATCATTTCTATATTATCGTACACTATAAGCTAATTACTATGTACCCGAAACTATCTACTATGAACTATGCGTTACGTACTATGGGTATGTGTGTACGCATTCTGTTACTTATTCAGAGTCAACGTATCCTACATGATTAAATAAATGGCTGAATTTTCTCTAATCACCATTGGGTATAAAAAGTACCGTCTAAGCTGCAAAAAATTTCTCTCGAATTTCTTTTTTTTAAACGAACTAAGTAAGATTTAAGCAGAACTGACTACTAAATGGAAAATACTGTACAACACCTAAACAGCAATTGTGGAAGCCAGAGACTCCACTCGTCGTTTGCTTCTCTATTCATGTATTTGTTTAACACGTAGCTTTACATGTTCATTGAGAGTTATCGTAAAGACAACTAAATGACATGATGGTCGAAGATTTTTTTTTAAAATTCAAACTAAAAATCAATATAAGAACTTTTTAGGTATCTGTTATCAATAACAGTAATAACGTTGCCAATTAGTGAGCATCTGGCTGCTTGCTCTGTCCATCTCATTAGTTGTTTAAATAAAAATTCCGTTAATAGTTTCTTGATATGACGTCATATTATTTTAACTGCTTGCAAAGTGAACACATATACAATTCTGTGTTTAAGTGCATATTATATAGGTGTACGTACGAAAAAAGCAAAAAATAAATAAATAGGTAGGTAGAAAATATAATTTGTTTTCATTTCATAGTTTATTTAATATGAAAGAATCCTAAACTGCTTTAACGAATTTTACTTATCTAATGTTTGGTGTTTTTCGCACATAGACACTCATATGCACAGTATAGCGCGTATTCACTTAAAAGGACACAAAAGGAGTTATGTGCTTTTGCTATTAAGACTGGTATTGACATCGTTTTTGCCTACGCGAACAAGGGGGAACGAAAGAGCAGGCTGTCAAATGAATGCTAGTCAACAGCGTTGCTTATGTGGTCTGATAGCAGTTCGTAATAATCTCCTAGTTTAAATTTTAAACAAAATGCCAGACCATCTTGTCATTTGGTTGAGTCTGGTTAAAGGAAAACAAATCATGTTCCACTGTTTATTTATACGTTTGCCTGCCCGTCTGCCTATTTGCTTGTATGTCAATCTGTTCATGTGCGCTTCGTTTTTTTGTTTTTTTATTTTCTTTGTGTGTTATACTGTCTGCGTCTTCTATGGTGCCGCGCTTTATTTCATGTAATTTTCTATCTATGAGATCTTTTTGAAAGTTTCCGCTTTCTTACTCACTCTCACTCTTACTTTCAATTCAATGAATATATGCAATACGCTATATATGTGTATTGTATGTATTTATGTGCGCGTACGGCGTGTTGTCTTGGCTTTCCTCTTTCGGTTTTTATTCGTCTCTTTATTTATTTATTTATATTTTTATGGTAAAAACTATTGCGAAATTTTGTTTATATACGTTTGCGTACATGTATTGTATTTGCATTATTGTTGACTGATGTTTTAAAATATTGTAGTGACTTTTTCAAGAAAGCAAAGACAATTGTACCAATTATGTAGATACATTTAGATGCTGTAACAGTTGAATGCGAAGAATTTTTAGGCTCGTTAAGGCAATTCCCGCCTAATAAGTTACAATCACATACATATGTACATATTCGATTTATAGTGTTCTACTTGTGTACTTAGAGTTTGTCGTGTTCGAGGTTAATTGAATATTTATTATGTACCATGATTATTATTATCTCTAATCCAGTTGGAAGAGTCTTGCTTAGTGAGTCTTGCAGTTAGTAAGACTGAGATTTGCGTTAAAAAACTATATATGAAAGAAGTCAATCTTTCATTTTACAGATTCCATTAAATCAAAATTCATTATGAATATTACTTTTAGCGTTCGGTAAAGGAACTAAAAACGAATCATATTAATTCTGAGTTGAAGTCTACAGCTGCTGCTAAATGCAAAACTTAAATGAAGACAAAGCCATTTAACTTAGAAATTGAAATATCTAGAGCAGTATTTGAAGGTGAGATTTACACCGATTTTAATTTATACCTTCTCAGTAACGCAGTCTCTCATTTAAAACTCGATATGTTATGAGAAAAAACTTTACAGTTATTTAATTTGGTTTTTATTTTGTTCATTTTTATATAGAAATTTGAGCCGTATTTGAGTTCATTTTGGTGAAGCGGGCGCATCCCTCTGCGTCTTTGCTTACTGCTGACTTTGACAGAAAAAGTCACTAAAATTACGATAAAAATCTAAAATTTGATGTGTATGTCCTTAAGTGGATGTTTCTCCTATCTCTTCAAGTTTGTACAGCCACCTGCCCAACTCGGTTATGATCTGCATATGTACGTACTCTGGCGCGCAGACAGTATCCTAAGTAGAGGAAAGGAAGTGAAAAAGCAACATATTTAAGCAAAATTTGATTACAAGAGTTCAAACACTGATCAATTTGCGATAACAAATTGAACGGTATGCAACTCTCGCTAGGAGATCTTTTATTTATTATGTGTTAGAAAAAACAAAATCCGGAGAGAATAGATGAGAAGTGCAACGTAGTGTATAATTGAAAGAAGCAAACACAAATATCCCGCTGTCATCAAGTTAAGATGAATTCAAATTGAAGGCGAGAACTATAGAGAGAACAATACACAATTGAACCCAATTTTGGGTAAAAGACAAGGTCAAAATGGAAAATGGCAAAATTGAAGCTTGTTCTGAAGATGATCTAAAATCAAGTTGGAAGCTAAAATTTTGTTAAAAGAAATTACTTTTAAAATAAATACATTTTCACCTCCATCCATCAGCCCATGCGAAAATTATAAGCAAAATTGTTCTCATTACAAAAGTTGTTAAGTTAAACTGTAGACCCCTGAATTTAGTCCATTGATCATGAATTGATAGCATTGTGAACTTTTTGTATAGAGATGAAACCCTAACACACAAAGTTTGATTGAAAATTTAATTTTTTTCTTAAATCTGAGAGAATGAGTTTCGAAGTGTTAAACTGAACAGCAAGAAGCAAAGCTGAAGCTATGATAATAAAATCGTAGTTTAGAGCAGGGATTAATTGGTATCCAAGTTTAATAACAATTAGCAATTAACTCTTCGATGTGAAAGTGAATGAGATTTCGCATCATTTCATAAAAGAATTCAGAAAATCGAAATCCTAAAACATTCGTTGGTTGTATATAAGACACAAAAAGAAGTATAAAGAAGATAGAAAAAAAACTTCACAGTTGCGCAATCATCACACCGATATATAGTGACAATTTTTAAGTAGTAGTAATAAATAAATCGTCAAATTATGCAATCAATGTTTCAGCACTACTTAAGCTAATATGAAAGATTCTAGATTAAGATCTAGATTCTGCAATGAAATTTTCACCTTGAATGTAAAAACACAACGCAAGACAGAACAAAACATACGCACATACATGAACACACTATTTAACTACGAACATAAAACAAAAAATGCAACAATAAAAAGAAAAAAAGACAAAATTAAAAAAAAAAACAAAACCAATTTATAAACGAAAACGAAAACGAAAACAACAAAAACAAAAAGTTAAGCAGAATTTACCGTTTGTTTTGCAAATGAACCCCAAAAATGGTGATTTCCTGCCTGGAAAACATAAGAGAAAGAAAAGAAGAAGAAATAAAATGTTTAAAAAAACGGTTAAAATATAAATTTGTAGAAAAAAAAAAAAAAAAAAAAAAAAAAAAAGATTTGAAGGTTTCGTACCGAAATAAAGCAAAGAAAAATAGAAATTTATGCAACTAAAAAAAGAGTGAGAGGAAAGATGTGATTAGGGAAAGATCGTAACAGTAACAAAAAACCGTGAAACATTTTTACGAAAAAAATACATAACAAAAGCTACAGATTATACATATATACAAACACACACACACACACACGCTTACACGAAAATTAGTATATATACATGTGAATCATTTTTTTGTTTTGGTTTTTTTTTTTTTTTTATTTTCGATTTTTTTTTCTTCAAGAATATATTAACATACATATCGTACGTATCAATTTTTTGAACGTGAGCAGCATGAAACACTTTCACTAGTCGTTAAGAAATGACGATAAGGTGATGGTGATGACGATGTTGTTACAATTGCTGTTGTTGCTGTTGCTACTGACCACAAGGCAGTACAACGTAGAGAACGAGTTCACTTTTTAACTTCATACATGTATAGTAATTATGCCTTTTATTTTCTTTTTCTTCTTTTTCTTTTTGGCACGTTAACAATGACATACAATTCATTGATCATCACCACCAAAATAATTCGAATGTAAAGAAAGCAGACGCAAAAACAAAAGCAAAATTTTTCTTTCTGCCATAAAATAGGTCATCAATGTTTTACAACTTTAAAGAAGAAGATTCGGAATGCAAAATATCGAAAACGTAATAAAGTCGCCTACAAGGAGAGCTACATGAACAGCTTTAATCGATCGGTAAGTGTATTTATGATTGTCAGCGCGGACAGTGAATGTCTATTTTTTTCAATCCGCTTTCGCTTTACTCTTCTTATTTTAACATTTTATTCGCAATTCTTTCTTTTATGAGGCTACTTTTCATTGTCTACGTTATGTCTACATTCTATTAGGATTTAAAAATCGGTCAAATTTTTTAAAATACCCCATTCGCCCCATTATAGTATTAAGCGAGAGATAAGCGTAGCACTAAAAGTATTTTAATTTGCCTCTGTCAAGTGAGTGCAAAAGCACAGGCAATGAAGATATTGTTTTTGTAATTAAGTTTTCAAAGACTTTTAGAAATCATATTACAAACTAACATATTGTGTTAGACGATTTTATGATTAATCTATGGCAAGATGCTGCGTCTTCATGCTATACAATGTATATAATGTATATGATCATGCCAAAGGATAAACAATTTCATTTTTGTGTAAACATTAAGTCTGTCGCGGTATATCCAAGCATTATGTGGATTCAAATGAAATGATATTTTGATGATATTTTGAGTAATTCAAAGGAATATGCGGCTAAAAATCATCTATTACTGCTAGGAAACTCTATAGACGGACATTGTGGAAAGCATGTAAACGTTAGTAACGGTGCCTTAATAGTCGTGCATTGCACCTAAAGAACAACGAATGTGTAGAGACGTTTCACGAAGAAGGCGGCATCAAGTCCGATAGAAATTTGCACAGTGTCTAGTTGTTGAGCAAGTAAACCTTTTTTATAAAATTTAAAGAGAAATGAGAATAATTCTGAAGAAAAGAAGTTAAATGCTATACGGACTGAATTCGAAAGACGTTGAAATGCATTAAACATGATGTATGAACAATTTAACATTTCAAAGAGAAGAATCAGTAACCGCTTGATTGGAAGATTGCAAACTAAAAGCGCAGATAATCGCCGATAAAATTCAATCAATATCGATGGCAAAGACGAATGTGGACAGCCTAGGTAAGCTCGCTCATCTTTTTTATATGGAATGGAATGGGACGGGCGCTTGTTCTTTTGCCTGGCGAACGTTGGGGGAAATTTAGTCAATCATTAAACGGAAAAGGCGACAAAATATTCCAATAAGTTAAGAGAATAAGCTTTTAGATGATTTTTCAACACGATCATGTTCGATTTTTCAGAAAATTTTACGGCAAATTGTATTTGAAGCTAGCAAATGTGCTGCCAACTTAATTAAGAAAACACAAGAATATTGAAGCTGTGCAAGCGAAAGAAAGTTGTTCGTAATACCAACAGTTGCCGATCCTTTCACTTCATTGAAAAGTTCTCCCTCGGGATTTGGGCATTTCTCTTATCGAATTCGGTCTTTAGCAAAGTAAACAACGAATGGGATGTCTTTGGCATGTGTGAAGGCAGCAGAATTATGAAGAACGCAAAAACCAACCGCAAAAACATTGTTGAAAGTATTTTGAGCATTTTACCTGTAGATTGAAAAACATTGAAGCTTATAAAAAATATCATAATCATTCTTTTAAGCATTCTTTGGCGGCCCAACTAGAGAATTACTATCATCGCTAGGAAAATAATGTCTTTTGGTGTTTGTGTTCGTGTGTATACACAGCTTTAATGACTTTAATGGTTATAACTGCCTTAAGTATGTAATTCTTCAGTCCTGTTAACTATCAAGTGGAAAAACTTCTATCATTAATTTAGCGAGTTGTAGACAATGGTTAATATCTGTGGACGTGTGCTGCATAACAAGCAGAGAAAAAGGAGGGAAAAGTATTTAACACAAAAGTCTTCTTTTCGAAAAGCGGAAAAGCACTCTTAGCATTTTTAGTTTTATAATTTCCACAATAATCACATGTTGCCGAACTTGCCGAACTATGCTAGCATTACATGTACACAGTGATAAATACTGTAAAGTGAAAAGTAAAAGTAAAGAATCCATTAAGTTGCAATAGAGCGTTAGACATAAAAGAAGTCTAACAATATGTTAAGGGTGGAAAGGAGTTTACTTCTTACGCCATCAGTTTGATTCACATAAGCAGATATCGAAAAATGAATACCAATTAAGAAATTTTGCGACTTCTGGAGCAATTTCTTGTAGACATTTTCATATTGCTATGGATTAATTTGAACTGACGATTGATTAATTAATATAGAATTAATTGCATAGCATTGCTTTCCTAAATTTTTAACGGAATCGATTCGTAAGACTTTACATACAGTTCGAAAAGTGTTATGTTGAAATCGCATTTCACATCAAAAGAGGAAAAAACAATACAGTTTCTAGCAAAACTGGTTTTAATGTTTTTTTTTTTTTTTCATTTCCTTTTTCTGTTTCTCTTCCTTTTTTTGTTTTTTGTTATTTTTTTTGTAAATTTAAAAAGCATTGAATTCTATTTTTAGCTTTTCGAGATTTTTGTTGAAAATAAAATTTCACTTTCATTGCACGCGCACATATGCGTAACTATGTATATATATACATATATATGTATATATTCAATACAAGCTCAATTCTAAAGGTATCGCTTATTAACATAATCAAACATACGCACAACTGTAAACCTACATACAAAGCACGATATGGTCAACGGGGACTACCTTAACATTAAAGATTGCGTCGCGCTCTTACCCACGTATGAGTCTGTAACTGTTACTTATAAATATTAAATACAGTGAAAATGTGGTTTTTGTTTTGTTAATTTTTTCTTGTTTGTTTTTTTTTTTTTTTTTTTGCTTTTACGCATATATTTTCTAAATGTATTTCACTTTAGTAGTAAATGTAGTAAAAGATTTGGAGACAAAAGCTTCAGTTTGTTATTTATTTTTTTTTTCCTTTCTTATTGAAAATTTTTAAAAAGATTTTTATCATAATTAAATTTTTATTATTAGTTTTGATTTTACTGAACCATAGCGAACCATAAAATTTAAATTTTAACACATAAACAAGAAACAAAAAAAAAAAAAAGCATACACGGAATTAAACTTTCACTTGTTCATGGTATGTATACCAGATGTAAGGAAAAAAAATTTATTTCTTTTTTATTATTTACATATATGCTTAGTTTCGGTGATTAATTTTCAAAAATCGTGGTCAAGCTAACAAAAACAAAAAAAAAAAAGCACTTAAAATGAATGCTAATTTAATTTAAACTCATTAAAGGATTACGTCGTTAGGTCGTCATTTTTATATCCATCCTAGAAGAAAGCTTCTGAAAGTCGACAAAGTATATGTAATCATGACGAAAGCATGCCGGGCCGTGTAATGTCTGTTGTAAATATGCTTCTGGCCGAACAAATGAAGCTGTCGAATTCAGATTTGTCAGAAATATTGGATGCTCTTGTTCGTGTGTTGGTATTAAAAATGGGGCAAATCGGTTACAGCATACGTCTACAGTACTACGTAAAGTGAGATCACCTCTGTTTTTCAAAGGGAATAAAAATTGTTTTTCTGATCATTACTCATAAACTATAACAGCTAGGTGTACAAAATTTTGAAGGTATGGGCGACGCTGTAGCACAAGCATCAAAAACGCCATAAATTATATATATTTTTGGCCAGCTTTACATTTGAAATGCACCCAAGAATGTCCGTCTCGTCGTCTGTTCATCTGTCCGTATGCCCAAATGTGTGATAAACATTGTCCCGTTTACGAAAAGGAAAATATCGTCTAGACATTTGTAAAAGAGGCTTCGACTTTTCAACGGACAACGGACAACGGACAACGGACAACAACCCCCAAACGCCCATGCGCCATAAACTTTTATTGTGAAAATAAAAAAAAATCAGCCGCGTCCACTCCATATTCCAGAACATAAACATTAAGTTCTCCTATTTTTTTTTGTTTTTTTTTTTTTAGGATAACGGTGATGACTATAAAAATCGGAAGAGAATTCTATTTGATTTTATTATTATCATTATTGTTTTTCATTGTAATTAAACGAAATCTCTATGAAGCATTAGGAAGGCAAAAAAAAGGGGGGCAAAAAATTCTTCCTCGATTATCATAAAACTCCATATTAAAATGTAATGAAAATATACTGTAGATACGATTAATAAAATATTTGCCCATTTTCTAAACATTTAGTTACAGAATACCGAGCAAGACTAGGTTGGTACCGAAAATCGTAGTAAGCTTAAGATGACAATGTTAGGTCAGATGTACTATGACAAGAGC